TAAACAGTCTGCCTGTTTGCTGTTCAACAAAATAATAAGGTTTCTTTTGTTTTTTGTTCAACAAAAGATCTCCAAAAGATGCCACTTGGAAAACTGAGCTTTTTGCATACGTTATTTCTCGAGAATGAAGAGTGCCCCAGCCAAAAAAATTCAGAGCAATGTTTCTCAGGTACAACGAAGCCTACATGCCAAAATTCAGCTATTTTTGAACACTTTCAAAATGGCCAAAAAATCTAGGGGACATTCTTGCACGTGGCCTTTCAAATGTAGCAGTAGCTGCCTTCACTCAAAAACAATCACCCACAACACTAGTACCCAGTCTACCTTTCAGACTACTCATGCTCACAAAGATCTGTCACCTTACAGTTGTCCTCAAACCCACAAGATAATCACTGGCTATATGGGATTATGCAATGTATTGCATAATCCCACAAAAAGCTTAAGACCTTAAAATTCCCCATCTTTATTCACTTATCACTAATCACCAAGACTTCAACAGTGCTGATCCTAGCAGTATGCAGGACACCAGTCACATATGAACTCAGTTAAATGACCTTGCTCTCCATGAGTTCTCGTAGCTCAGTGGATAGAGCAACTGCCCAGTGTTCGGGAGGTCATGGGTTTAATTCCTGTCAGAGACTCAGATTTTTTCTTTGCTCCACACTTGTGTCATGTTGATGAACTTACCTGTCGTATTTCATCGCCAAGCTTGAAATTCACCATCTTTATTCATTTATAAAGAAATACATGTATTTCCTCACTTTCAAGGACTCTTTAAGAATCTGGTAAATTTCTACAGACTTTTCAAGACCTGTGCACTCCATGTGCTATCTCAAGATTCTTGAGCATATTTCAAGACATTGTAGACTTTCTATGAGTGTCACAGTGTAATTATGTAACCAAATTTACCTCTCCTACAGTCAGAGAGTCCCAGCTGTCTGGTGCTTGAGGAAGTAAACTATGCAAAACTTCCATTCTTTCAGGTAAAGGTGGCAAGAGCAAAGATGCACCAACTGATAATGCTTCATTGACTGCCTATATGAAAACATAAAGTAATACAATTAGAATATAGTTTAAGGGCCCTAGGCATATCCACCTTGTGTTGAATTTGAGGTTATATTAAATTATTATATTAAGATGATTTTCCCAGAACATTCGAGCAATAACGGCAAAAATTAAGTCACCAAAAAAACATGACACGGTAATATTTTGAATACAGTTAAGAACTTATTGAGACTTGCATATCGAGCTGATCCCGTGAGGGAAAACTGACCTTTTCTTTTTTGTTTCTAGTACAAAATGCTGTTTATTTTCAAAATTAATGAAAAAAATTTTTTTTCTTTTTTTTTACTATCTATTCTTACTACTAAAATGGAGTTGAAATGATATGCAATATTCTTTGAACACCTTAAATAATTTATTCAAACGTTGTGAAAACCATTCTTATCGCCCCATGTCTTGCTTTACATTTTACATGTGGCGGCTAGGCCACACCTTTATTTCCATTCCAGTTTTAGATTGAGAGCTATTTTGTTGAATTATGACATAAACATTATTAATAAAGTGTATTATTGTGTGTCTCACGATGTAGTCACTTGAGATGTAGATCGTGACGTTTCGACTGCTTACTGCTAGTCTTCTTCAGG